TCCAAGAACAAGAACCACCACACAACCAGTGAAGTTAAAGATAAGGTAAAGTAAAGTAATATAAAACCCAAAACCATTCATCATTTTCATTTCACTACTACACTCAAAACTCCCCCATTACACAAACAACCATGGTATTTTACAGAGCACCAAAATGGCCACTCTCTTTATTATTTTTGAGGTCTGTTGACACAAATCAAATTACTGGAAAACACATATAGAAGCGTCTACAGGCTGACTAGTTTCAGAGAGTTGGCCTTTTCTTGAAGACTATCAAGCAAACTCACAAAGGCTTTCTTGAATGAATCCACTCCTTCAACCTCCAACTGATTCCCAACAAAGCTCCAGTCTATTCCCAACTTCTCAAGTGCACTGTAAATCCCTTCAGCCTCTGATACATTCGCATCAATTGTCCTTCCAACAACACCATGGTCAATGAAAGCTTGCAAAGCTTGATCAGGCATAGTTGACACCTAAAACACAACCATACCCATCAACAATCAACACTCACAAATATCAAAAAAGATGAAACAAAAGATTCAAATGGCTTACAGTGTCGGGTCCCACAAGAGGTGCTACATAAAGGGTGTCAGGGTATGCTGGATTCTTGACACTGGTTGAAGCCCATAGCAATCTTTGCTTCTTAGCACCTTTCTTCACAAGAGCCTCCCATCTTGGACCAGAGAATTTCTTCTGGTAAAGCTGGAAAGCTAAAGCTGCTTGAGCATTCGCAGCCTGTAAAAAAAGTCAACGCGGTCAAAGTCAAACAAACATTTTTCTAAGGTATATTTGATTATTTTCAGATACCCACTTTAAAAAATTTGATCTTTTTACCTTTCCTCGAAGGTCAAGTGCCTCTGGTGTCCCAATTTTCTCAAGCATCTTGTCAACAAGTGTATCCACTCGACTAACAAAGAAAGATGCAACACTTGTAACCCTAGATAAGTCATCTAAGCCAGAAGCCTCTAACCCATCCAAATAAGCATCAATCACTGCCTCATATCTAGATAGTGAGAAAATAAGCTGTGACAAATCATAATAAAAAAGGGATTAGTAAGCAAGAAATACACGTTTGGATTAGAGAATATATATAAAGGATGAACTTACAGTTACGTTGACACTAATTCCAAGGGCAATAACGTCTTTTATCGAAGGAACACATGCAGCTGTTGCAGGGATTTTGATGTAAACATTTGGGCGATCGACCACTTTGTGCAACCATTTTGCAGCATCAACTGTCCCTTTGGTGTCATCAGCTAGTTGAGGTGAAACCTCAACTGATACATAACCATCACCTCCATCAGTTTCATCATAGATCGACTCAAATAGTCTGCACGCATCTTGGATGTCTTTCACAACAAGTTCCCAATATGCACTTTCAATGTCTTTCCCTCCCTGTACTAGTTCCTTGAACTGATCATTGTAAGCATTTGAGGTTGATATCGCTTTTTGGAATATCTGCAATCATGTATCAAAAGGACTCATTGCAGATTTTGATTTATATAAAGGAATGTTTATACAGAAGTGATGGTGAAATTACCGCTGGGTTGCTTGTAACACCTCTAACACCACTTTCGATCAGGGGGAGAAGATCAGTAACAGGGCGGCATAGGTTGTCGTACCATGGACTCTGGCCTTGCTTGTGATAGAGATCGTGAAGAGTTGTTTGTTTCACAGGGGTTCCATTTCCACCAACTTGGCTACATTTCACGCTTTATAAAAAAACAGAATTAGGTCGGGAAGAAGTATGCGAAGCTTTCAATGAACGAGTAAGAGAAAGGATCGAAGTCAATCGTAATGAAAACACATGAAGAAAGCCTAAAGAGACATGCATACAAGAAAAAACTTGCAAAGCCATGAAAAGGATTGTGAAATTATGGAGAAACCCTAAAAGAATATGGGAAATCATTGGACCGTATAAAAGGTTGAATCTTTTAGGACATAGCTGAAATTTGAGTTGATTTGAAGGAAGATTGTTTAAATTCCAGATTACCAGATGGATGTTTGATGATCGAGAGTAATTACATCATGCTAAGAACATGAATCCAGCAAAAAAAAAAAACCTTGATCAAGAACAAGTTCAACATCACATCGCGTAAATTGAAAGTAAGAAGAGAGGGAGGCAAATCGCTAGTAAATTATCACAAACAGATTTTGTAGAGTGAAACCCGGATAGATTAGCAAATTGGGAAAGATGTAAACACGAATAAAAGTAAACAGAGAAAACTTACAGCAAGGAGGCGGCTAGAGGGGCGTTGGAGCGAAGAGACAACCTGGATGATGAAAGTGCAAGCTTTGAAGGAAACCCAATAGACACAGAGACGGTGGGTGGTTTTGGAAGCAACGGGGAAGACTTTAGAGGGGTTGCCGGAGTAGAGAGGTTGGAGATGGAAGCCATGGATGAAAGTTGGTGTGAGGTTTTGATCTGAATGAGAGATCTAAGACTCTAAGAAATAGGAGAGATATATGGGTGGGATTCCTATTTCACCAACCCCGTCAGCTGCGATGCAAACGAAGGCAAACGAGAGTTGTTATTTTAATCTTTGATTAAATTAATGAATTAGGGCTAAAATCAGCTCAATCGGATAATTAACTTCACACCTGTCATCTATGGCGGCTCACATTCGTTCGTCTATGCATCAAGTTTCATGAATCATGATTAAATTACGGCAGGCATAAATATGCTTAAAGATGCGATTTTTTTTGGTCTTAACGAAGGAAAATTAAGGTTATTTTTACACTCTTTAATCATGTGCAATGTCTTTAAAGAAAGATTCCAATTGACTAAACATTTAGTTCAAACGTAAAACAAAATAAAACCAAAAAAAAAAAAAAAAAGTTAGTAGAGATTTTGTGTAGTCACAAGTTTCATTTGAAAAGAAGCCTTTTGGGGGGGCTGAAAGGGGCCAATTGATAGAGTGACGACGTTTAATCAAAAGGACGGGCCATACGACTTTCCCCAAAATCAAGATCATTTTCTTTTTATTTTTTATATTTAATTTTGATCAAGTGTTTTAAATCTAACATAGAGTAAATTGTAAAAATGGTCCATGTGGTATGCAAAATTTTAGGGTTTTAGTTCAAACCACGAGTTTTTTTGGAACCATAGTCCTTTTGGAGTGGTTTCTATGTGGTTTTGGTCCCTGGACTTAACTTCCGTTAAGTTGGAACTGTTAAGCCCCCTCACGTGCCTCACACGTGAGGGTAATTTCGTCATTTCATACTCAGGGACCATTTTTGCATAAACGTTTTTTTGGATTAATTCCTTTTAAATACCTCCACTTCCTACGATCTTCTTCCCCAACGTCTCTTTCTTCTACCCTTCTTCTTCTTGAGCTCTGCTACAACAAAAATGGTGCTATGTTTTTGTGGAAAAGTTGTTGTGGTGAAAACGTCTTGGACCCCTTTGAATCCAGGAAGGAGATTTTTTGCATGCCCTATGAATGATTCCGTTTGTGGGTTTATTGGGTGGCTTGATCCCCCAATGTGTGCTAGGTCTAAAGCCATCATACCTGGTCTGCTAAGAAATTTGAATTCAGTGCAGGAACGGTGCAATGAGTTGGTTAGAGGTATGAACATGCTACAGGATCAATGCAATGGACTGATATGCAAGAACAACATTTTGGTGGCAAATGTCAGAGCATTGAAGGATGATAATTTGAAGCTGAAAATGTACATGTTTGGAAGTTGGTTTTTCTTTGTGATTGTATTCTTTTATATTTGGTTTGTGTAGGGGTATACTCTGAAGGGTGTTTTGGTCATTTTGTTGTAATTTTATGTGATCAAGTTTGTAGTGACTTATGATGATAATGATATATGTACAATTTTATGATGCAAGTGTAATGAATGTTTTACCAAAATGGTATGAATGTATAAGAATTAACATATGAATAGAAATGGTATGAATGTGTTACCAAAATATATATATTAGAACCAATTGTACATAACCAAAATGCACATTTCATTAAGATTTGTAATATAACAACCAAAGTTTCTAAACATAACAACCAAAGATTCTAAACATTACCAAAAGGGACACATTACCATACCTAAGATAACAACCAAGTTTTCATAACAACCAACCAAAAATTTTCAACAAAATATTGTAAACATAACAACCAAGTTTTCATAACCAACCAAAATCACAGAAAACTCCATGCATGCATGACACATTACTTCTTGGATTGATTCCCACCTTGCCCTTTACAGGTCCTAGAGTTGTGTCCCTTGTTCTTGCATTTGCTACAAGTAACACTGATATGCTTCCTTGATAGCTTCTGCACTCCATCATTTGTTGGTTTTTAGGAACCTCCTTCTTGTGCAGCATTCACTCCATCACCTTGACTTGCCTTCTGCCTCACTTTGTCTTCTCTTGTTCTTAGGCCTTCCCACCTGAGTGCGATGTGGAGGAGGGATTAGCTTTGTGGGACATTCACTTTTGGGCCACATGGATCTACCCTTAATTGGCTCCACCTTAAAAGAATAAGCCTTTTCCATGTCTCTAGAAAATACACCTTGTGAACCCATTTGTAAATGTCAAGCTCAGCCTCTGGGTCTTTACTCATCTCATTCAGAGTTGCAATTGCATGTCTGCATGGAATTCCAATTAATTCCCATTTTCTGCAAGTGCATGTTTTGTTCCTAACATCAACCACATGTTGATCCTGCAAAGCTCCTGTGACTTGATACTTGTCTCCCCCATTCCACCTAGCAATGTATTGTGAAGCAACTGTTTTTCTTGCAGCTAGGATGTCTGTTGCTGTGGGTGTTAGTGGACCTTTAGCCTTTTTCATTTCCTTCATGACATTGCATATCCTCTTCATTAGATACTCCCTTATGAATTCTAAACATCCAATGACAGGTTTATCCCTTCCTTTCTCTATCTTCCCATTAAACACTTCACACATGTTTGATATCAACACATCAGAAACTGCTCTTCCTGTGTGTAAATTACAATTAAAAAACATTTAATACAATTCACATACAAGTAAAACAGTTCACTAAGTGAAAGACATAAGGACCAAATTGGAATATATAGATTTACCTGAAAAATGACTCCTTGCCCAATGTTTAGGAGGAATTTGCTTCAACCATTCACATGCCTCCTTATCATACTGACTAAACTCCTTCATCAAATGTTCAAACTCAGGAATGGTGGTAGCTGATGCACACCTCCATAAGTGGTCCCTGTACTCTGTTTGCCTCCATCTTTTCCTCATATTGTCATGAATATGTCTGATACAATATCTATGCTCAGCATTGGGAAAAATTTGCTCAACTGCAGTATGTAAACCCTGCAAAAATTAATTATCAATCATTAGAATTAACTTACAACCACACTTTAAATGACCAAATATATAAAAACTACTTCCAACTTTACCTTTTGCCTGTCACTTATGAAAGTAAAATTTGAGTTTCTTCCAAGGTCCAAGTCATCCCCAAGGTTATCTAAAAACCATTTCCAGCTTTCTGTGTTTTCAGACTCAACAATCCCATATGCTAATGGGTAAATTCCATTATTGGAATCAAGACCAACTGCTGAAAGGACTTGCCCAGGGAATGGTCCTTTCATGAAGGCACCATCAAAACCTAATAAGTCCCTAAGGCATGCCTTGAACCCTTTTTTCAGTGGACCCAAGCACACATAAATTCTTCTAAACTGCCTAGTTGGGGAATCAGGGTTAGGCTCAGAACATACATCTATTTTCACTGTGGTGTCTGGGTTGGTGGCTTGAAGTTCGAGAACATAGTCCCTCAACAGTTCATACTGCTTTGTGTAGTCACCAGTTATATGCTTTCTTGCCTTATCCTTTGCCCTGAACACCTTGTCCATACTAACACCCACTTGGTAGGTCTTTTGAAAGTGATCTTGTATAGCTCTCAAAGGTATATCTGGATTCGCCTCAACTTGATCAAAGATTTTCTTGCTGATTAAAGAAGCAGTACAAGCCCTGAGTTTCCTTGTTTGCAAACATGTGTGAGTTTGGTTTAAGGTCCTTATAAACCAGTCGGATTCAGGATTTGACCTAGATGCATGAATGTACCAACCACATGTTACTTTTTGTGTCTTTAATTCTTTACCCTTTCTTTTTGAAGTGGTAGCTTGACTACCCACTTGGCCTTTATTGGTGACAGGTACAACACCTCTACACTGTGCCCTAAGCCTTACATTGTCATTTTTTTAAAGAAAAGATTCCTTCTTGATTCTAGTGCATGCAGATCAATTGCCTCCTTTAATTCTTTTTTACTATTAAATTTATCTCCAACTGAAAAAGATTGTTTATGTACTACCCCAAGACTGCACCTTTTTTCTTTTCTCAAATTCTTGATAAGAGCTCTTCTCTCTCTGTCTTGGTCGGATCCTTCATCCAAAGATTCAAATTCCTCATTGTTAATCACTTCCATATCTTCAGGTTCATGCCCATGAACAACATTTATACAAGAACCTTCCACATCACTTTCAACATTGAGAGTGAAGTCTCCCATGTCCACATCCACATCCTGTATATTGTTGTCAACATCCATTATGTCATCCATATGATCTTCATCTTCTATTTGTCTCTCATCTTCTTCATACTCTGGATCACTATTTTCAGATTCATCATACTCTTCAAAATTTGGATCACTTTCTTGAGATTCATCATCCTCTTCATACTCTTGATTACCCTCTTCAGATTCTCCATCCCCTTCATACTCTGCATTATCATCATCACTCCCAATCAAATTTTCCATAAGGTTATCAAATAACTCATTCAATTGTTCATCAGCATTATTAACAGGGGGTGTTGTAGCCTTCTTCATCAAAAGTTGATGCCTCTTGAACAACATTTGCAGCCTCCCTAACACCATCCATCTCATCAATATGAACACAAGTTGCTGCCTCCTGAACATTAGTTGAACCATCCAGATCATCATTCTTTTCCTTTGAAATGTGAACAACCTCATCAATATAATCTAAATTAAGCCTCTTGCTACAAGAACTTTCACCTATTTTGGAATTCCCAACCCTACCCCTTCTATACTCTGGTGAGAAACTATCATTCTTACTCCCAAAAAGAATCAGAGACATGAACTCACCAATAGGCTCACCATTACCATGGTTCACATTTTTCATTGGAGAATCTGCATGAACTTGACCCTCAACTTCAGCCCCTTGATCATCATTTTCTGGTAATTCCTCAATGACAACTTTACCCTTTGCATTTGGTGACATGAAGTAAGTCAATAAATTTGTCTTTCCATGCTCTGTGTACACCTCAATCAGCTTGTTATGTGCAATGTATTTAGAAAGGTTGATCACATCCTGATCATTCCCTAAAGCTCTAAGACCAAATTGAAAGTCACCATTGGGTATCCTAAAATGGTAGTATATAACTGGGGATTCATCAGCGAATTCAGAATTCGTGGGTCTGGGTAACCTAGGTCAAGCATTATGGCATCAAGTTCATGCACAGAAAACTCATCAATGTCCAGATAATCAACATAACGCACTTCACCTCCAATGTACTTTATATCAGGTAATTTAGTAAATTTCCCACCGTGATGAAGCTTAATACTAAACCATGTGGGTGCACCAGCTAAAAATCAAAATTATACATATTAACAAAGTTAAAATTTTGCATTTTTTTGTTCTAAATCAATAAGAAAATGCAAAGTATAAAAGTTAAAGAAAACAGAGCAGCTTACCATATACAGTTGATACATCAACAACTTCGTGTTTTGGTCTGATATGCCACATTACGAACACCATTTCGTATTAAACGTATGCCCTTATATGTGTAGTGTCGATTATCTTGTTTGGATAAGCAACGAGGGTTTTTTGCAGGTTCAATGGAGCAGAAGCAAGAAGGAGGGAGTTGGGAGTTGGGGAGTTGACGAGTGTTGGGGAAAGTAAATGAGGGGTAAATGTCAATTAATCCAAAAAAACGTCTATGCAAAAATGGTCCCTGACATATGAAATGATGAAATTACCCTCACGTGTGAGGCACGTGAGGGGGCTTAACAGTTCCATCTTAACGGGAGTTAAGTCAGGGACCAAAACCACATAGAAACCACTCCAAAAGGACTATGGTTCCAAAAAAACTTGTGGTTTGGACTAAAACCCTAAAATTTTGCATACCACAGGGACCATTTTTGCAATTTTGTCTCTAACATATTAAGAAAGCAAAATATAGACAAAATTGCAAAAATTGTGTGGTTGGCAAATTTATATGTTTTTTTGTTCAAAACGAAAAGTTGGTTCACCACTGGTCTAAAATTGGATATTTCTATTGTTTTTTGTCCTTATACACTTAAAATGATTTTTATGCCCTTATAATTTATATTTTTTTATTTTTTTTAATTGTTGAAATACATAAACTAATTTAATTTATATCTTTTTAACTTAAAACAAAAAAATAAAAACAAATAACTCATTCCCCACTCTTATCTTAAAGAAGTCCTTCATCATCGGCTCCACCCTCATCACCAATATCTGGAACCACCATCATTAGTCACTATTCTCATCGGAGTTCACCTAGATCGCAACCACCACCACATTTTCTAGAGCCTTGGTTGCTAGACTCCCCACCCCACTACCACCACCATTCGCCAGCATCGATACCGCAGGAAACCTTAACACCCCACCAATCTACTTGTACATTAGGGAAGGAATGATGAACTGGGTCAACAGAGATAGTGGGGGAATTTAAACCCAAATCGAATCACCCACCAAACATGGAGCCTTCGGTGATGGAAGATTGATTGTAGAAGATGATAAAAAAAATTAGGTTAAGACCTTATTTTTACCCACCATCAGCCGATTGCCTCAACCAAACAACCTTCACCAAGCTTCACTAGACCGCCATCACCGCCAAGCTTAGTTTCACCTTGTCCAACTTGGTCCACATCTGCTTCCTTCCGTCTGCCACCACCATTAAATTGAAGACCATCACAGCTTCCCCAACTCCATCTCCAACGACAAGTAATCGATTCAAGTCTTACTCTTATTCATTCTCTACTCCACCACGTACTCTACCACTGCAAGCTTATTCCTCTAAAATCTATTGAACCCCCTCGCTCTCTCTCCTCTCGTTCTCTACACCACTACCGACTTTTAATTTTGGTTCCTGAAACAAGACTGGAAACGATTTTCGGATTCGGTTTTAGAGGAGAATTTGAAATGGGGACTTCAGTTTTTGGATTTGATTTGGGGATTTAAGTTCGTTTGGGGCAACACCGTCTTGAAGGCATATGAGATGGAGGTCTCAGAGATGTAGGAACCGGAAAATATCCTCCATCATAAAAGGGTGGTCTGATGAAGTCATGCCGATGAAGCTAGTGTTCCAGAAGGTATAGTGGTGATGTTATGGGTTTGATTTCATTTTGGTGGTGGAGGTTCCGGTTAGGAGGATGACATGCAGAGAGAGAGAGAGAGAGAGAGAGAGAGAGAGAGAGCATGTGTATGTGGTGGGTTTATTTTGTTTTTGTTTTTGTTTTTCATTTTTTATAAGAATAATATATATATATATATATATATATATATATATATATATATAATTATTTAAGGGGCATACTAGTCATTTTAGGTGGGATGTGGACCAAAAACACAAGAAAATACAACCATAGGAACCAAAACCACACAAGGTATATAAAATCGGACCAGTGGTGCACCAACATTTTGTTTTGGACCAAAAACACATAAATTTACCAACCACATGGATCATTTTTGCAATTTTATCCAAAATATATTATTTGCTGAGCCTAGGTTCGTTTATTAAGAATCTTTGCCTACATTTCTTTATAATTCCTTATATTAAGTAATGTATTTTGTTTTTCACTAAATAATCTTATGCATAAGTTGTGATCCTAATATAAGTGTTTATGTTAAGATTTAATATCAATGATTGATATTTAATATATATATATATATATATATATATATATATATATATATATATATATATATATATATATATATATATATATATATATATATTAGGGGTGTGCACCAAACCCGCACAAACCGCATAAACCGCCCACACCGCACCAAACTGCACCGCCTAATGCGGTTTAGAACTAGTATGGTGCGGTTTGCGGTTTGAAATTTTGTTAAACCGCATTATGCAGTGCGGTTTGTGGTTTTCAATTATAACAATGCGGTTCAAACCGCACCGCATATATATATATATATATATATATATATATATATATATATATATATATATAATACAAGCACATAAAAATTACACAGAAGATACGAATTTGGTTTTATTACTAATGAATTTTGATATCACCAATTTCAATTTTTGTAAACAAATTTGAGATAGATTATTTATCTGATTGTCTAATGTAACAATGACTAGTATTGTTAAAACATTGGCAAAACCAACTTATCTTGATTCTATAAGTAATATATTTATGTATAAATTTTATGTACATAATATTAAAAATACATATCCTTTTTCAAACCGCATAAACCGCAAAAAACCGCACAAACCGCCCGCACCAAACCGCACCACATAACGCGGTTTAGAACCTTCGCGGTGCGGTTTGCGGTTTTCTAAAATTTCAAACCGCACATGCGGTGTGGTTTGCGGTTTCGACTCGAAACCGCACCAAACCGCACCGCGAACACCCCTAATATATATATATTAAAAAAAAAACAATAAACATGATTTTGAGGGACATGTTGGAAAGATGATGATTTGGGTGAAAATAAACCAAGTGTTGATGTTTTATGAATTATTTAGCATGTCTATTTTATTTATTTATATTGCATTTAGGTCTTTAATTTATACATTATTTATGGAGCATTTTGTGGAATCGGATTATTTGTGATCATTTTGATGTGTGTTTTAGGGACATGGTAAGCTTGGAGTATCCTTGAGAATATGAGAATATGTTAGGAAACTTATGTGTCAATTTTGAGAGAATTGGGTCGTGAAGACCGAAGATTACCCATGTCATATGAAATTACGCATAAGTTTTCATACTGGTCGTGTATTTATGAAAAGAAACAAAAAAAAAATAGTTCATTTTAAAGTTTTATACAGGCCGTGGGTTTTGCATTGTATTTCCAATGCAAAGGCAAAGCCACCGTAGGACTAGGGCAGATTTAGGTCTACCTTCAACTCAAATTTTTTTTTCTTTTAAAATTAGGATATTGTTTGGGTGTTTATGATATATGATGTTAAATTTCTTGTATTCTTTTTCATTTGGCTAGCCTTTAATTAGTTTTTATGTAATACGTGAAATTTAGAATATTTCACGTATTTTTCAAAAAAAAAAAAAACAGAATTTTTTATATTTTTTTTATATTTTTTTTAGTTAATTCAAGTTCCGAAAATAATATTTAAATTTTTTTTTTTTTGGATTTTTCCATTTGTTTTGCATTTTAAAATTATTTTTAGATTTGATCTCACGGTCTCACAAAATTAGAATGGTCTCAAATGAACCTGAACCTATATATATATATATATATATATATATATATATATATATATATATATATATATATATATATATATATATATATATATATATATATATATATATATATATATATATATAATGACAAACACCCTTTTTTTTTTTTGCTTTGTCCCAGTTCGCATGGGTAGTATGTTTAGGCCCGATGAAGAAGACAACAACGCATTTTGGTTGGATTTTAAGAAAGGGTAGTGTACTTAATGGTTTACGGGGGTCATGTGAACATCAATATTTGGGTGATTATCAAATTTCGACAAAAAGGTGTTTGTTTCTTCTTTTTCACACATACGACTAGAGAGAGAGAGAGAGAAGCAAAGGCAAATTTGATGATATTTTGGCTTTAGAAATCGTTTGGAACAATGGTTTCATCATTTGTAAGTTGGATTAACGCATTATATTAGTTTAACTGATGTACTGTTATTCATGTACTATTTCCGGTTTCGTAGTTCAGCCAACCAATTCTCAAAATCTGGAACTGAAATTGAGACTTAAATTAGAAGGTCCACATTTTCAATTTAAACTACAACACGTAAAATAAGAATACCCAAAAACCCAATTGGGCGACCAAAATGTCAAAAAGGAAGCAAAATAATGTGTACCCTACTCCCAAAAGAACATATAATGGAGATATCAGCCACCCAATGATGACCAACTTTTCAACTACTACATAAGTGCCCTGGTCAAAACACCAATAAACCACAAAAGCAAAATGGGTATTTACTATTTAGAACTGAATGTGGTCAAAAAAAAATTGAAAAATGGAGTCAAAATTAAAGAATCACATATATATGTCACTTGGAAAAGGCAATTTAAACCCAGTATAGATTATTCCCAACAAATAAACAAAAACCCACCTGATGCTGCCTTATTTAGAACTCTATAGCAGCACATTCAAAAATTCTGATACACAAACAAAAACAAAAAATTATAACAAAAACAAAAACTTTCTTCGATTTCCGTAACAGTAAAACAGCATTTCATCCAATGAGCAACTTATCCTCAGCCAAGAAGCTATAAGTAGGCACCTCCAAATTATAAGGAGCAGGTCCCTTCCGGATTCTTCCGGATATATCATAATGTGATCCATGGCAAGGGCAAAACCACCCACCAAAATCACCAGCATTAGGCAAAGGGATGCAACCCAAATGAGTACACACCCCAACAACAATAAGCCACTCTGGATTCTGAACCCTAATCGCATCCTCCTGTGGGTCCCTAAGAGAGTTCACATCAACACTGTTGGCTAGTTTAATGTCATCATCTGTTCTACGCCTGATGAAAACTGGCTTCCCACGCCACTTAACAGTCACAGTGGTTCCTGGTTCGATGCTTGACAGGTCTACTTCAATGGAAGCAAGGGCAAGAACGTCTTTACTTGCAGACATGCTAAGAACAAACTTGAGGACCAACAGACGGATTAATGATGCATAAACAAACCTGCCACCTGTTAGCACAAAGTATGCAAATGCACGTTTGCTTGGGTCACCTGGAGGGTAGCGTTCATGGTTGTGTTCATCGTATGTGATCTTGGATGTAGGGTTCTTGATGGCTGCAACTGTTGAAGGGACTTCAAACCCTAAATCATGTGTTGGAGCAATTGTACTAGAAGAAAGACCTGTAACAAGAATAATCAAAGGGTATATTCAAAATTCGTGATTCAAGATATTGTGGTAGTAGCCTCATAACAAAAGATTTACGCATCTAAAATCAAACAGAGAAACAAACAGATGTTTAATTGCATCCGATTACAAGCAACCAAATGTGTAAATGGATAAAAGCATTAGACTGCGTGAAAAAAATTAAGAGAAGGATCCCTCATTCCTCAGACAGAGGAAAAACATGATTGGATTAATCAATACTAAGCATAATTCCAATCTACAACCGTGAGAAATTTGCAATACACCATCGGTCCATGATCTTGAACATGATGAAATTTAATACGGGATACGTGTCAATCATTAACTAAGGGATTACATTAACTGATATCAATTCAAGGATGGGCACATGACGTACTTTGGTGCATGATGCATGGAAACGAAATCTAAGATCTTAAGGTGCATCTATATAAATTCGTGAGCATCAAATCCGTGCACATAGATTGAAATAAAAACGGAAACGAGGAATATAATATGATAATTAGCGTTAAAATCAAACCACTGACCTCTGATATGATGGAGAAATATGGAATTAAAAAATAAGGGATTCGGATGAGAAACGGATCTGGGGGCATCGGAGGTGGAATCAACGCCACAACCGTTGATTGGATTGCGAGAGATGATGGCGGAGGAGGCCGGAGTAGACGACCACCATGAAGAGAGAGAAGAGCATCTCCTCCCGGCTACTCGCAACATGTCGTTGGATGTCGATGTTTCTCTACGATTCCGATTTAGGGTTTCTCCAAAAGGGGGAAGATGCGAACAATGAAGAAGATCGGAAGGGGAATTGTCTAGTTTTTGGCAATAAACGGGAGAAATAAATCGTACGGCTTTTATTTTTTATTTTTAAATTTTTTCAAGCTAAATTTATGTGTCTATCTTGACTCACATGTAATGACCAGAATACCCTCCGCCATGAAGGTGTCGCTTTTGGGTACATTTTGACTTTTTTGTTTAACTCTAAAATTTCTTTATCTTTAAAACAAACTCATGCATTTCATCTGCTTTTCTTTTTGGCTCATTCAATCAAACGTAAAAAGAAACTAGTTTGGCTCATTTTTGGCTCTTTTAACATTTGGAATAACCTCATTCCCTTCTTCAAGAAACCATAGAAGAGAAAAGATAGTACATATTATAACGATGAAAACACTACATATTGTAACATGGATATAACTGTAGTCGGAGGTGTGTGCACCACTTTTTTTTTTTTTTTTTTTTAATTCTTGTCAGCTAGTAATTAGGGTTAGAGATATCGATTTAAAAAGATAATGTATTTTTAGATTTCTGCACATTTGGTTACTGAGTTTTTTTTTTTTCGTTAACATTTACCTTTTCAACTTGTTAAACTGTACACATTCAGTCCTTATGACCGGGTACTCCAGATTAGCCGAAAAAATGACTTAATAGGGTAATATATTTTTTATTTTGTACACATTTAATTATTATTATTTTTGTACATATTTAGTCATTAATATTTTTTTGTTTCAAAATAAGTTCTTTTTTTTGTACTCATTCAGTACTTATAAATGATTTCTTTAGATTTTTTCACGACATATTGCATGTGACAATCATTGATGAGGTGTTTAGGGTTATTGATGCTTATATCCAATGCGATCTCGACTGCTTGGTTGCGTAGGTCTCGTGGTTTGACTTAGGTTTTGTATTCTGAACGTCGTAACTTCTTTATACTATATCAGATTTTAATGATCTTTATATTTGTTGGATTAGTGTCTAAGTCCGTAACCATATTTGGTAAGTACTTGACCCGGTTATGCATGGTCCTTTTGGTTGCCTTCACCAAAGCAACTTGACTGGAGAAATAATAGAAAAAAAGGTTATTATGATTTATTAATATATTGTAAGAATAATATATTAAAGGAAAAATAATATTTGTTTAATTAATATTGTTCAATAATTAATTAAGAATTAATTTTGTGATCAAATGTAGTTAATTAAACTAGAGGGGTTGAACTATAATTATGTGATAGTTGCAAATTAGGGCATTGGATGCCCCTAAGATGGGGTAGATGAATTCAAGGTGATAAGGCCTTAGAATTCGTCCATGATAAGGATTCAAGGCTTATCCTATGGGTTGCTTGGTAGGCAAGTAACCAGATAAGGATAAAGACTGAAACTCTACTCTCTACCCTATATAAAGACCCCTTAGGCCTTAGAAAATCGGCCACTTGATCCCAATAAGACCTAGAGCCGATTTTTGCCTCTCCCCTCCTCTCTCTCTCTCTCTCTCTCTCCTCTCCATTTACTTGTGGTGTTTGTAAGCCATTAGAGGTACTACACTTGTGGTACTCGCTTTCCAAGACAAGTAGATTGGAGACTAGTGTTGTTATTACAATATTACAACAAGAGGTATGTAATCCCTTCTACTATATAGATTTTGAAATACCTATGTGCATGCTAGGGTTCTTCTTGTGTTCATAAAGTTGTGTATCTAATAGTGAAAACATAGATTCAAATCTAGGGTTGCATGCACACCTATGATTGTTTGTATCAAAACCCATCAATGGTATCAGAGAGTATGGTTAATTGTTTTCAATTAGAATTATACAGTTGTATGAATTTGACACTTTAGGGTTTATGGCCAATAAACCCTAGGAGACAAGATTTCGAAATTAGGGTTCTTGAACCATGTTTTCGAAAATTTGATAAGGTTTTTGAAACCCTTTCCTTTGTGCCCAAGATTTCAAAATCTAGAGTTTGCAAACCCTAGGATTTTCGAAATATGCCTCCTCCCCAAGATTAGATCCTAAATTTTAGGGATTTGGATAATCATATATCTTGTAATTATCCTTTAATGGTTAAATATGGTAATTAAAGATTTTGAATTATCCCATCCCATGATTTTTGAAATCTAGAGGGATTTAAGGGATTAGGATAAATTAATTGTTTAATTTAAGATAATCCTTTATGATTTAGTAATTCAAATTAATTGTTTAATTTAGATAGTTATTAAATCAAGAGTTTTAATATTTAAAATTTTAATTTAAAAGTTTTAAATTTCGGAAATTTTAAATCGAAATTGAAACCTAGTATTTTAAAATGTTTAAAACACACCTTATACTGTTATATTATTACAAGATTAATATATATATATATATATATATATATATATATATATATAATGTTAGTCTTACCGTTAGTAGGCCTCATTCACAAAACCGATCTATAAGGGGGGGGAGGGGGTATAAGGTTATGACCTATAAAATGGTCGTTTAATGGGTATCCACTCTTACCCACCGCTTCCTTGATTGGTGGAGGGTCGTTAGCCGAACGGGTAGGATAGGGCAATCCTCTCTTTATTAATAGGTATAATGAATCTATATAAAGTAACTAAACGTTTTTACAAAATTATCAATCCTAGTTACTTTACGCAAAAGTGAATTGATGCAATCCCATGAAATTACACTTTGCACCTTGCTAAGAAGTTAGTGGATCGTGTGTGGTTAACCGGCACACTAATTGGTTATAAGCAAAGGTGGCGAAGGGTGACTCATTGTTTGTCATAGTTCGATGGAGCGTGTGTGGTTAACCGGCACATCGAATAGGTGACTATAACAATGAGGGCACCAAGTATATTTGCATGGTTATTCACACCTGCTTTGTGATCCTCGGTATCCCAGTCATAAACGAGAAGGGAATATCGAGATTTAAACATACTATTGAAAATTTCAATGAATCTCAAAAAAAATCTAGGAATTCTCAATACATTTAAAACGTAATCCTTTTATGTTTTTCATGGTGAAGAATTAGCGAATCGTCATTCACTTACCTCCAAACTATTTGCATGTTGGATTATGGCATCCATTTTCTAATGTGTAAATAATGTTGTTGGATCCTAACCCTAATTTCTCATTTTGGGTGTTTAATTAGGGATTCAATTTTAATCAAACTTTGTTCCTTTCTATTTGCAGATGTCTAACGCAAACACCAACAACGTTGCTGCTGGTTCATTCTCGCTAATGAGCCTATGTTAAAAAGTGACATTTGACGGATCGAATTTCAACGAATGGATAAGATACATTCGCATGATTGCTCGTTACGAGGATAAAGAATATGTTCTCGACGAGAAGCTTGATAAGATCTGTAACAACCCAAAATACGAACCAAAAATTTTTGTTTAAATAATACTAAGGCGATCAACGATTTATAATATATCATGAAATCGTACATAATAAATCCCAAAAAGTTATAATAGATATTTCATAACAAAAGAACTGTAACAACATAACATAGTATCTAAAATAAACTCCCAGGACAAAAGTTGAAGCTGTGGTGTGTGCAATGCCATCATCCCGAGCTATTCCCTTTGCCTGCAGAAGTACCTGAAACCAAATTTGAAACTGTAAGCACAAAGCTTAGTGAGCTCCCCCAGACTACCACATACCATACAATAACATATAAACACATATTATGCCTTGCCCACTGTATTAGACCGAAGTTCGGAAACTGCATCGGACCGAAGTCCGAAACTAAGCAGGGCCTTGCCCTCTGCATCGGACCAAAGTTCAGAAACTACATCGGACCGAAGTCCGGAAACTGCATCGGACCGAGGTCCGGAACTGACTGGGACCTTGTCCCCTGCATCGGACCGAAGTCCGGAACTAACTGCATCGGAACGAAATCTGGAACTGTTGGGACCTTATCCCCTGCATCGGATCGAAGTCTGGAAACTGACTGAGCATAACATAGCATAGCATAAACATATCAACTAGCATAAACACATATACTGCATACTGCATCGGACCGAAGTCTTGGACACATAACACAAAGACATGCTTGAATCACAAAGACATCAAGCACACTGAACTACTGCATCGAACCAAAGTCCGGAACTACTGCTAACTAGACGGGCCAAAGCAACTTAATAGGATGAATTATGGAGATAGAGGATTAATTATGATTTATTAATATATTATGAGAATAATATATTAAAGAAAAAATCATATTGGTTAATTAATATTAGTCAATAATTAATTAAGAATTAATTTGTGGCTAAAAGACATTAATTAAACTTAAGGGACTAGAACTGTCAATTGTATGATAGTTGAATATTGGCCTAATGACTCCATATTAGAGATATGGACGAATTCTATGGGGAAACCCATTGGAAATCGTCAAAGGCCTCTAATAAGGGAGTCATTGGGTTGCTTAGGGCCTAAGCAGTCAAATTAGGGTTTCCTTGTTAGATAACCCTAATAGCCTCACTATTTAAGGATCCCTAGAGCACCAAAAACGTGGCTAAGAGTTTCCTTAGGGTTTCCACACGTTTTTGGGTGCCTCATCTCTTATCATTCTTCATCCTCTTGCTCTTGGTGTTTGTGAGCCATTAGAGGAGTGACACTTGTGACTCTAAGCTTTCTAAAACCATTACATGGAGGATTTGAGTTGTTATTACTATATAACAACAAAAGGTATGTATTCTAATCTTCTTGGTGAATTTCAAAAATAGTATGACTCATTAGGGTTTTATTATGTGTTCATAATGTTGTGTAACTAATAGTGAAAACATAGATCCAGTTCTAGGGTTGCATGCACACATATGATTGTTTGTATAAAACCCATCACTCACAACTCGAAGAAAGACGGGGGACCCATGAATCGACTCGCCGAGTCCGACGAGCAACTCCCCGAGTCCTAACATGCAGATTTCATACAATCGATTTTAATCCATTAAAGAGCATCTAACTCGTAGATCTAAGCTCCTGGGACCATCTGAACACGTAAAGTTGCTAACTTTATGTGTAACTAAGAAGGAATGAAGCTATTTCACTCAAACACTACTTTCCTCGGGAAAACTCATCTGACTCGCCGAGTTGTTCAAACAACTCATCGAGTCTAAGGTAATCTTCATCGGACTCGCCGAATTGCTCATCCAACTCGTCGAGTCCACAACTATCTTCATATGACTCGTCGAATCCATTAAGTCCCTTTTCCATACAG